CCAAGAACTTAGGGGAAACTTAGAAGAGTATTTTGGCCTAAAGCCATCGACACAGTGCAAGCCAGATACTAAGCTTTCCATAAGTGGTAGATCTCCCTGGGTTGCGGTAGAACATATTACTTCCTTTTGCTGTGCATTGACTTTCCTCCTAAGAAATATGGTAATATCTGTGTCAGCTGAACCTGTTGTTAAGTATTGCCAGAGTCCCTGCTCTAAAATTAAAGTTATTATTTTAGTAGATGGTTCCCAACTTATAGCCTGCTGCAAAGTATTGATTCTATGAATATGTTCCTCACGGAGTTACCGAGGGATACATTCGGATATATTAGGAAGTACCATTGCTCAAAACTAGGGCAGTCTGTGGGTATGGAAACTTCTGAGGATTTTATTTGGCTCATTGGAGTGTCCATTTATACCTGCCTTAAAAAAGCATTCGGGCTAAAATTACTTCATTCATGCTTTATGGAGCGGGAATCTGGAACCCCTATCAAGGCTCATTCATCTCGTGGTTTGACTTGAAAGGGAAGGGACACCTCATCTCTGCACAAGTCCAGGTGGTAATCTAAGCTCTTACAAAACCCAGACAAGTATACTCTTGGTGGAACTGTCCTATGCACCACCTGGTGTGTAATCCTCTGGCAGTGTGACCTAGCTGTATATGTTTAGAGCTTGAGAGCTTCACCTCCAGTCTCTCTCCCAGCCAGGATCCAGCATATGGAAGGAAAAACAGAGTTCCTGGAGGGTCTCCTGGGAGGTAACAGTCTGTCTGAACTCCTTTGCCAAATTCTGAGTTTTTGCAGTCAATTGTGAAGACAAGAAAAAGACCCATATGAAATTTGTGCTAGAGACCATGTATTAGTTGTTTTGGAGGGACAAAATATTCAACACTTGCAGTATAAAGGAGGAGACATTTATTTTGGCTCATGGTTTCTGGGGATTCAGTCCATGGTTGGTTGGCTTCAAAGTAGAAATGGCATGGCCCAGAGGATGGTGGTAAAAAGCTGATCAATCCATGGAAGCTAGGAAACAGAGAGAGAAAAGAAGAGCTGGAGATAAGAATACATCCTCTAGGTCATATCCACAGTGGCCTACCTCCAGCTGAGAGCCAACTCCTTACAACACATTCAGCTTTGAACTTATCAGTGGATAACTCCATTGATAAGCATAGAGCCTCTGTGAGTATAGAGCCATCTTTGCAAAGCCCTACCCCCAAACACATTGGATTTTGGGGAACATGTTAGACCCAAACCAGAACAACCCATGAGTTCAGAGCATGACACATCATGTCCCAGGGCTACTAGGGGAAATTCCTAGTACTGAGAATATTTGTCCTTCTGAGGAGTTGATTTGGTTATTGTGAATTGTGGTTGCCCTGTCCGTTGGAGTTGGGTATTACCAAATGAGCTAGGTGTGTATTGTAAGAAGGATGCACTGTGACCTTTTTCCCACTTCTCCGCTCAGCCTTGACTTTGCTTTCATCTTTATGTTTTCTTTTCTTTTCCCAGTAGTAATTGTCTTTATTCTTTTTTTTGGGGAAACGGGTTGCACCTAGTGCTTTGACACTGAGCTATGTCCCCAGCTCTTTGAAAACATTTTTTATTTGAGACAGAATCCCAGTAAGTTGCTAAATTGCCCAAGCCGGGCTTGAACTTGTGATCCTATTGCCTCAGCAACAGGATCTGTGCTGCCATGTCTGGTCCTTTATTCTATTTTAAATTATATGCATGGAAGTCACTCTTCAATAAACTAATGCTTAAAAAAGTAAGTTGAATTTGACAGATGTATTTTCTTTCACCTTAATTTTTAAGTGATTTAATGTTTTCCAATGTCTCAGGCCCATTCATCCATCCGTCTATTCATCTGTGTCATGTCTGGCCAATACTGATTTGGCTGCTAATATGAGTAGTAAAAGAAAGCCAAATCCTTTTAGTGTTTATTATCTACATAATAAATCTTCAGAATTTTGACCTAAAACCTCTGCCTTTACTCATCCTCTTTTAGGCTCAGAGAAAGGGGGAAATTCTTGATTATCATTAATTTACTAATTATGGAACTTTTTTGACACTTAGAAAAAGATAAAAGAAGAATTAATGTACAACAGCCTTCTGGGTAGGTGTTGCTAAAGCAGATTGCATTACATCCTCATTTCTCCCCCGGTGGTTTTCAGAATGAGTAATTTACTAGTCCACCGTCTCCCAATTTTCTAAGTAATAGAGCCTGGTAACTGAGCCTAGCTATTTTAAGGGCACAATGCCCTTTTTTCTATATACAGTAATTCCTGGATCTTGTAAGGCCTTGAAAAATGACAGGATACTCTTTTTGAATGTTTTTGAAGATGCAAAAGAACATCCTAGTCCAGCAGGTTTTTTTTTTTTTTTTTTAGGAAAAGCCACAATTAAATGCCCTGGACACAGTATTTCTGACACACGCTATAATTTCACCTCCAATCATATTACAGATCTGAAGCAGTGACCCCTTCAACCCTGTCTGTTTTTGCAGGTTTTTGAAGCCTGAGTTTAGTGTTGGTGATAACTTCCCCACCTGCTACATACAGGCTTCCCGGTAAAAATTGGTCATTTGACACCTGACATGGAAACTGACTCTGACTTGAGGGTGAATCAGAGATTGAAACACTTGGTATATTCAGCAGTTACTTTCTGGGGTCATCAGAATGTAATGTAAGTGGACTGGTACTGCAGGCTCCATCAGCATGGGTCAGGTGTGGAGAGCTTAGCAAATTGAGTGCATGTTGTCTTCCAGGAGGGCTAATCAATTCCCTGTGTTGTCTTTGGAGTGACTAATTCCCTTCCAATCAAATATATATGTATATGTTTCAGTTCCAGTGAATTAGGTGTCATGTTAGCCAGTAAAGGCCCATTGCATAGTGCATATAGATGCTAAATTACAGTGGAAATATAAGTTAACATTTAATACAGCTCATCTTGGATTATGCACACAGCAAATTGTATAACAAAGATGATCTCATTTAGTGTGTATAACTCAGCGATTTAGGAATTATTATTATCCTTATTGGTAGGTGGGTAGACAAGCACTCTGAGTTTGCCTTGAATTATTCTTCAAGTCATGATTTGACTCACAAAGTCAAGATTTGACCCAGTGTATGAAATGTGATTCCAAACTCAAAAGCTCTACCCTTGAGCTTGGTGCAGTTGGGCTTTTTGGTGACATCGGATTCTTTGCAACTCTTAAAGAAAACCCAAAGAACTAATGGAGTCTCCTGGCATCTCTTCTACATGGCTCTGGGGTCGTTAACCTGCTATAAGCAACATTAGCACTTGTTGGCACCTTGTGACCTTAGCATATTCTCTGAGCTCAAATGAATAAATATAGAGTTCTTCATCAGCCCTCTCTCCACTTTGGATCAGTTTTATGGCCTGGGTAGTAAGTAGAATTTTCTTTCTACCAAAATCAGAAAAAAAATCCAAAACCCAGGTGACTCATTGTTTTATAAATAAAGCCCTATAACTTTGATCTTGTTCATGTAATTCTTTTGTTCAAGGCCTAGAAGATTGTAGATAGAATAAAGTTTTAATCTGATAGATGGGCTATTCATTCATTCATTCATCCCTTCATTCATTCAAGTATAAAAAGTGCACTGTCAGCCTCCACAGTGCAGGTGGAAGGACAGCCGCCCGCAGGCCTCTTTGCCAGCAAGAATGCAGCCTTGCAAATTATTGGCAGCTGGCACTGTAATGAGTCCATTTCAATATCAATGGGTTGTTGCTTATTAATATCTGCCAGTTCCTAAGCAATTCAGGAACTGCTTTGAAAATTTGGAAATTCGCAGAGAATTGTTGAGGGAGGAGGTCCAGGCAAAGGGAACAGGCAGGCTCGCAATGGGAGTGAGCTTGGAAAGGGCACGTATTGTGGGGTAATAATGGGGTGTTGCTAGAACTCAGGCACCTTCCCCTGCAAGCATGAGTCACTGACTTGGTGGTGAAATAGCACATGTCCCGAAACAAGCAAGAACTGAAAGTTCACTTACTGTTCTGGGGAGATGTGTGTCGTTACTTACTGTTTCTGTGGCTACTTTGCACAAAGCAGGCAGTTCTGTCCATGTTCCTGCCTCTGGATTTGGCATCAAAGGTTACTGCCTGGCGCACACCACTGGTGTGTGTGTGTGTGTGTGTGTGTGTGTGTGTGTGTGTGTGTAGCACACTTGTGCATTTCCAGTCCAGGTAAAAGGAGTCGGCAGCCACTAAAGCAAAAGCCCTCTGGCCTTTTCTGCTTGTCTTGGTATTTGCAGCCTCACTTTGAAATACAAACTCACAGAGAGAGAGAGAGAGAGAGAGACAGAGAGAGAGAGAGAGAGACAGACAGAGAGACAGAGAGACAGAGAGACAGAGACAAGAGAGACAGAGCAAATGACCATGAACCCTGCGTGGTCCTGGAGCTATCCTTACCAATTTATTATCTGTGCCAGTAGTTTGTGTGTTTTACATAGATCCTTTCCTGTACATATTTCTCCTGAGTGTTCCGTAAATGTAATGTTTGCCCTCTTAAGGAAACTTGCATACAAGGAGAAGCTATGTATTTGTTAGTCTGCTTTTTGTTTTGTTTTTTTAAAATAACTATTGTGTAGCCTTTTCATGAACTTTCGTTGTAAATACACATTTTCTTTGAGAATAATGGAGACTTCCTTATGTCCTTGCCTTTTTCTGTTTGTCGGGAATCTTTGATGATTCAAAGAAGACACTGGAAACGCCCAGTGGTAACTACAGAGTTAGATCAACACGATGCAATGACTTAGTTACAGGGCTACTTAGGTAAATACACTGGTATTCATGTATCGTACCAAGCCTGTTATTCTACACCTGTAGCTAAATACTGCATCCTTGAATTCAAGGGTAAAATATTTCAGGCAAAGTTGATGTCTGAGAATTGATAAAGATGGTCTTGATGGCAGATGCCCATTTTTCTTATTGTGGCTGACCACTTTCATTTTGTTCTTCTGCCCTCTCTGATCCTCTCCCATCCAGGTATTGGGTACATTCTCCCAGACTCAGATGAGGCCGTGATGGCCACCCCACCGGGCAGGTGCTGACGTCATCTCCGGCTTCAGCATCTAAATGCCACACTGCACTTGGCACTTGGCCTCGGGACCACTATTGCCTTTTAAGGTAGGTGTGCACATGCGGGTTTGAGCCTTTGCGATTGCAGGAATTAGAGGAAATGCTTCAGAGGTTGGGAAACCGATGCATTTTACTATGCTTGAAATTGCTATGTTGTATGTAGCTCCTGGGAAAAGAATTTGGAATCCTGTCCTTAGGTTAGGGTTACGCCCATCTAGCAATTCAAAAGCATTAATGTTAAAACAAAACAAAACAAGAAGGCCTGGCAGGTACCTGTACAGTCTTTTCTGCCCCTGTGAATTCCCCTAAGGATCTTTTATTCCTAAACTTCACTATCATTATATTGTATTATATTTGAAAAAGACAAACCAAGCTTCAAAATCTAGCCTTAATACCATGATATATTTTGTTTCTGCTTTGACTAATTTTTAAAAAACAAAAATAAACCCAGTCAAAATAATAATCTTTTCTAAACTGGAAGATCATCTTTTATTTGTTGCAAAACTGTCTTGTTTAGTCTCTTGGGTCAGGGGGATTTGTGTGTGACTTGGCAAAACTGTTTGCCCGGGTTGTGACAATTCAGTGAAAACTTTCAGCACTTTGCCTAGGTTTAATCTTAGCTCCCCCCCTTCCCCTTGTCTTCAAGCACCGCATCCAGGAGGGAAAAAACAGGCTTGAAACCAAGACCTCCCACTGGAATCTAATTTTAAATTTGCAATCTGTTGTCTTGTGATTTTCGCTTCAAATTTAACTTTGAAATAAATACATCTCAGCCTTCCCCCTGCAGTTTCGGAGGTCTGTTTTTAAGTCATAGAAAGGTGATCATTACATTTATTTTAATAAGTTTTTAAATACCTCTGGAGAGTGAAAAGTGATATTAATAATTAGTGACTCGCGGGAGGAAAAAAAAAATTAGTGACTGGTACACATCACTAACTGTCTTAGGGCTGTGTTCCGCAGTAACTTTCCCAGGTTCCGCAGTTAACTTTTGACTTGCTGGTGGTATCAATGGGGTCATCTTGGGCTCCACGGCAGGATCTAATGATTTGTGATTTGGAAGTGCCCTTGCTTTACAGTGACATCAGTAGTGAAAGTCCCACTCTGGACTGAAACTTAGTCAATTTCCACCATAAATTCGGTGACCGGGGTGGTCCCTGCCACAATAAGGTGGTGATAAAATGGGAAGTGGCACATCAAAACAGGACAAGTGGATCGGTGTGTAAGTCCCCCTGCTGCAGCCAGGCTGAGAGGGGTGAGGCAGAGCACCACGGGAATGGAGAGGAAAAAGTGAATAGATCCAAGCCCGTAGTACTCTTTTTATCATAGGTAATTTTTCTAAACCATCTGTTTGGAGTTTGGCTTTTGTCATAGCTGTCTTCATGGTGCCCACACCCTCAGTTCTTTTGAGTGGGGGAAAAAAAAAGCAGTCACCTGAAACTTGTTGACGTTTTATTTGTCTCCCTCTTAAAAAAAAAAGTTACTCATTTAGCATAGATACTTAAGAAAATACCAATAAAAAGTAACTGTGAAAATTAAATAACCCATAGACTCTCTATCTACAAAGTCACTTTTCAAATTCTTAATCATTTGTAGGAAATATTTATTGTTAATATTGTTTTTGTTGTTATTAGTATTGTTTGCACTCCTAGGAGTTGAAACCAGAGCCTTCACAGTGACCTACATCTGCAGGCTTTTTTAAATTTTTTATTTTGAGACAGTCTTACTAGTTGGCCTAAACTGACCTTGAACTTTTGATCCTCCAGTCTCAGGCCCCCAGAGTGCTGGGATTCCAGGCGTGTGCCGCTACTCCCAACATTATTAAATATTCTTAATGCTAATTTTAACCTGTTTGGGATTTGTGACTTGCGCATGTAAGTCCCGTGCAAGTTTCACTTGCTGAGGATGAGCAGCACTTTGCTTCTGCGTTTTGACCTTTATGGTAATCCTTTTGATTATTTTTCTGTGAATATCTGCGTACTTACGTACGTAATGAGATGCTTTAGGAATGGGATTCAACTCTAAACCTGGACTTCATCATACCCATCTTACACATTATTTCAAACTTCAGTGAGAATGAAGATAACTGTATACAGTATTTTTAGTGCATCTGTATTTTGACTACAACCTGTTGTGTGAGGTTAGAGATAGAATTTTCCATTTAGGGCATCATAGTAGCACTATCAATATTTCAGATTTTGGATGTTTGCATTCAGGATGCAAACTGGTACCATTTTTTGGTTCATTCGATTTAATTTGAGTTTCCTGCAGTTTAATCTCTTTCTTGCCTAGAAGATTTTCTCCCTTATATGACTGTATGATGATTACGATGGTGAAGTCACTTACTTTTGCTTTTGTTACTGAAATGCACGAATACCTATTAAATCTTAGAGCCAAATGGGCCATGTTTAGTCTTTGTAGAGATTATTAAGAAAAGTAAGGAAAAGGAGCAAAAGTCGCTTTCTGCTCTGAAGCTGCCTCCAGGCTACAGCAACAAGACCTGTGCAGATGTAAAATGTGAACCAGGTTTTGTTCATTTGACATAGAAGTAAATCGTAAGCGGTAAGTTGGACAGAATAGGAGGAAGTCAAGGCTTTGGAAGTTGCTGGCATTTTACCCTTGTCCACGAGAAGGATTCAAGTTTTCAGTTCACCAGCTTCCTGGGGCCCACCTTGCTGGGGAAGGGTCATCCCTGAAAGAGGAGATTGTGTCCTGTGCGGTGAGCAATTTTGACTCCTCTGGACCCCTTGGCCCAGCCCCTGCATTCACTGAGCCCACACGGACCTTCTTGGCTCTCCCTAGCTTTTCAGGAGAAACGCTCAGATTAAGGGAAACCTCAGCAGCCCCCAGAGAACTGAATTTCCTGTCATTGCTTTCAGCTTCATGCTGCCTCTGCTTAGATCATCCCCCGGGAATCTTTCTTGGTAGGATTTAGGAGATTTTGACATTCATCTTGAAATTCTAGTTAGAAAATAAAAGTAGTTCTTTTCCTACCTTGGCTGCCTGAAAAGAATCTCGCTGCTGAAAGTGCTATTCCTGTAACACACCCATCAGCGCGGTGCGTGGTGGGCTGTAATTCTTGAAGGTTGGGGCTGTTTCCTTTCAGAGTCCTCTCCTGAGGCTTTTAACTTGATTAGTTTTCTGTTGGCAGAAAGAAACCTAACCAGAAAGTTGTTGTTGAAAATATGTCTGCCAGTTTATATTTGCAAACTTTTGATACATGTGACAGAAGAGGGTAAATCGGAGCATATTTGAGGTGACAGTTTTGCCTTTTCTTCCAGTCAACTTATTTCACCATAATTCTTTCTCCTTTTGAATTTAAACTTATGTGAGTATGAAAAAGGGGCTGTGACTAACAGAAGTCCTTTATTACTGATTGGCAAAACATACAATTTATGTACTTTTATTATATATTAAAAAAACATGAAATTTCTCTCTCTATGAATATGTTAGAACACCACACTGAGCTCCACATGGGAGCATCGTAATTTATATTTAAAAAAAAAATCAAGAACCCTGTGGCCTGGGAGTATTGCTCAGTGGTAAAGCACATGCTCAGCATATGTGGGCGCTAGGGTTGAGCCCCAACACTACAAAATGAATGGATGGATAGATGCATGAATAAACTGTAAGAAGTTAGTCATGGCTTTTAGTGTTACTGAAAAGCATATTGTTTATTTTACTTATAAAAACTGTAGCATGCACTGGTCTTAGGAATGAAGATACCATCAGCCTTCTTGGATAGTTGATCTTTATTTTCCCCTTATATTGATATCCTTTTTACTTGCTTCTTAAACATTTTAGCCAGAGAAGTGTGAACATACTGCTTTGAAATATACTTGCTGTTCATAAGCAGGAGATCTTCTTTCTTGGAAAATTCCCTCTGAGACTCATATGATGTGTGGTCTCATAGGGAATATCCCAGTACAAGAATAGCTTAACATCTGGTGTCTGTATGAATTACCTCTGAACTCACTGGAACATTAAGTGGAGGCTTTCTTTCCTGTTGCCACAAATTTTATTCAGTAAGATGTGCTAGCGAGAGTGTATGCAATGTTTTAGACTGGACGGTGAGGCTGTAGAGAGATTCCTGGACTAGCGTGAAGGATATTTATATTATATTCCAGTTTGTTTCTTTGCAATGGTCATAGCAATAACATTTCCTGGCTCCCCATGGCATCTTTTCCTTTGCTTGTTTATTGCATGCTGTCCCTGGCTAGGATACCAGTTGCCTGGGAGTAGAGGGAAAGGTGTGTCATTCCCTGCTGTATCTCTGGTTTCTAGAACACAGTAGATGCTCAGAAAATATATTCAGAATAAGTGGTTAAAAGAACCAAATCAAGAATCTGCCCAATAATTCTGCTTTCCTTTCTGGCTGTTGTCATGTGTTATTTTAAGTGCATATACTCTTTTTTTTTTTTATTTTTTAAATTTTAAATAGGAGAAAAAAAAAAAGCAGAAAAAGGGTACAAGTTATACAGATTTACAGAAAAAAATAAACAGTAGGAAATCACTAGTTAATGGGTTACATATTGTCATCTTAGAAATAATTGTTCAAGTCACAAAATTAAAGCTTGTAAAGTGGACATACAACAATGATACTGCAAACAGTTCTGTACAATGATCCAATAAAACTCAGTGATATCATTTTCTATCTTATACACTTAAATATACATGCAGTTATATCATTTAGAGCACTTTCTTTTCCTCTCTTTTGTACAATGACTATTATACATTTTGGGTTTTATTGCTCCCACAGTTCTTATTACTTTTTTGGAAGAGAGTAAAACCAAATGTGACATAACAGAACAGAGTCGGTCAAATCAAAAGGGTTGACATAATAGATAATGTAAAAACATAATACAAGGTGATCAACAATGGTTACCATAATGCCTCCCGCTATTTCTAATAGAATTGCCTATATCATCAGTTATAATAAAATTGAACAAAACAGTAAAGAACAAAACCGACCAAACCAAAACATTGGAGACATTGTAGGTCTTCAAAAGTAGATAAAAGTCATCGAGAATGGGCGTCATTATGAATCTCACTATCTTCACAGATGTTGCCTAAACTTTCGAACCTGGTACTATCCAGCAAAACAGAATAGGGGGACATCAGTCAAAAACAAGATGGTGAGAGTAATACAGGGCTTTAAATCAAGATAATGGAAAGTCAAAGTGGGTTACTATAATATATCCTGCTATTTTTATTTATTTTTCCCTTAATTAAAAGGATAAAAATAAAAAAGTAAATAATTAAATGGAGATTGAGATAAAAGAGGGCATAACAGCAAAACAGCGCAGATCAAAACATAACCATTTAAGCAGAATAGTGTTTCACCACAAGATAATCCTGACATAAAAGTAGTTACCATATTGTCTCTTTCCTTGAAATCTTTGAGTATAACTTCGTATACTGTAGCATCAAATATATCAAAACAATGTAAAACCATTTAAGAGAATTATAGCATTACAGGGTATTTAGAATCAACCAACAGAAAACGAACAATGGTTTCTGTATAATCTCCTTGTCTTTAAAAGTTTTTGCTTATACTATCATACATAATAAAATCCAGTAAGATACAACCTGTTTAAACCAATAGAGACAGAAGAACAAAAGCTTGATGAGACTTCAAAACAAGATGATACTAAATCAGTATTACCTATTAAGACGTCATTTTCTCCAAAATAGCTGTTCCTATCATGCATATACTCTTGAGATGAAGTAGAGAGACCTGTGGATCAAGGAGAGGAGGCTAAGTAGAGACACGGTAGTCAGTCTTTGAAGTGTTTTCTCTTGCTTGCTGTGCCTAACAGAATAGTGTCATCACGTCACTAATGGAGGTGGGGAAAATGTTAAGGAGAGACTTGAATTAATCTAGGTAGCCCCAAAAGGCTGAATCACTTAGTGGTTTCATAATGTGAAATTTCTGTTTGCAGGGCACTCTGTACCAGATTAATGTTTGAAGGTTGGATTTGCTCCCAGAAATAAACACGTTAGTCTGCTGCTGAGCAGGGTTTATTTTATTTTATTTTTTTACCCACCCCCACTCCGTAGCCCTCCAAAAACCCCTCCTCAGTCAAGCTTTTCGCAGTGCTGTCAAATGACTGACCAAAGCACTCCCTGCTTTTTTCCTTTTTGACTTTGATTTGTTAGGAAAAGTTGATTGGACTTTCATCTTGAGGTTTTCCGTTTTTGATTGATTTTGAAGTATGGCTAGAGTCCAGATAAAGTAAAACAAACAGAAGAAAAAGAAAACTTTTAGAAGAGGTTGGGGAAGGTAGAGCACAGTCGCACCTCTGGGTCTGTCCTATATATTTATGATACAAACAGAAAACTACTGCTTGGTGGACACCTTCGTTTTTACTTTACAGAGTTCTCAGTTTATAAATAGGAGTAGAATTTTATAATTGTAGCACTTAGGGAGAGCAAAGTGGTGGTATAGATGCAGTACTCTGGTGTTTCCCTTGGGCATCTGCCCTCTGGGCAGAGACAAATCTCTAATGATCCTACTCTTGCATGTGTTTCATATCTCTGGTGACAGGCCGGCAGGTGATGCTAGACTGGCCACCCGTAAGAATCCTGCGCAGCTGCCAGGCACAGGGAGGAGGTTATGCGGGCACCTTCCCAAGGTCCCGCAGCCAAGGTGCGCTCAGCTCTGTCTGCAAAATACGGAGGCCATTCTGATAGTGACTCAATTATCCCCCCTTCTTCCCCGTCTCTCTCTGCTGCAGACCATAAAACCATGGGAAACGCAGAAAGTCAAAATGTAGACCATGAGTTTTACAGAGAAAAGCATGCCAGCCTGGGGCGAAAGCACACGTCGAGGTCGCTGCGCCTGTCACACAAAACGCGGCGCACGCGACATGCGTCCTCCGGGAAGGCGATCCACAGGAACTCCGAGGTGAGCACCCGATCCAGCAGCACACCTAGCATCCCCCAGTCTCTGGCCGAAAATGGCTTGGAGCCCTTCGCCCAGGAAGGCACCCTGGAGGACTTCGGGAGCCCCATCTGGGTGGACCGAGTAGATATGGGCTTGAGACCTGTGTCGTACACCGATTCTTCTGTCACTCCCAGTGTAGACAGCAGTATCGTCCTCACAGCAGCCTCTGTGCAGAGCATGCCAGACTCGGAGGAGAGCAGGCTGTACGGAGATGACGCTACATATCTGGCTGAGGGAGGCAGGAGGCAGCATCCCTATGCATCCAACGGGCCCACTTTCATGGAGACGGCGAGCTTTAAGAAGAAACGCTCCAAATCTGCAGACATCTGGCGGGAGGACAGCCTGGAATTCTCACTCTCTGATCTGAGCCAAGAACATTTAACAAGCAACGAAGAAATCTTGGGTTCTGCGGAAGAGAAGGACAGCGAAGAGGCTCGGGGGATGGAAACGCGGGCGAGTCCGCGGCAGCTCGGCACCTGTCAGCGTGCCAATTCCTTGGGTGACTTGTACGCCCAGAAGAACTCCGGGGTGACGGCAAACGGGGGACCAAGGAGCAAATTTTCAGGCTGCTGTCGGAATTTGGTGTCTGATATTCCTGATCTCGCAAACCATAAGATGCCACCAGCTGCTGCCGAAGAGACCGCTCTGTACAGTAATTACAACACACTTCCCTGTAGGAAATCTCACTGTCTTTCCGAAGGTGTCAGCAACCCACAAATTAGCCATAGCAACAGTATGCGAGGGAGAAGAGCAAAAACAACTCAGGTAAAGTGACCAGAGGAATCTGTTTCAATATTTTGAACGTAGTGCATGACTCTGGAAATGCATGATTTTTACTTTTATTTTTTGGCTTTTATAAATTTCCCATCTTTATATTGGGTTTTGCCTAGTGCTTGCTGCAACTGGTGTTGGCTTTCTGCTTCCCTCTCTTACAGTTATGCACATAAGGGGTGGGGATTAAGGGAGTGTGTGAGAAGGAGTGTGTGTGTGTGTGTGTGTGTGTGTAAAGAGAGGGGTGTTGTGACAGGAATAGGAACAGCGCTGATAAGTTTGTATTGGGAAACTGCTCTGCAAGAAGAGTTCTTCAACGTCTCTCCGATTCGTGCAGCCTTTCTAACTTGTTCTTTCTGTGGACCAAGAGGCATGGTGGGCTGTGGGCACTCGGAGCTTCTGTCCTCACAGCAGCAGGTGGGCAGAGGTTCCTGGGCAGCTTGTTTGCAGAGATATTTCTAATTCAGGGCGGGCTCCAGTCCCTTGTCAGCCTCTCTCCGGGGTTGGCAGGCTTGCCGTCTTACCAGGAGCTATTTCAATTTCCTGTTCCTTGCGATGCTGGCCAGCCCTGTCTCAGGAGGGAGGTGTAGCGGAAGGAATGACATGGGTGGGTTCCAGTCCCTACTTTGCAGCCAACTTGTTTGACCTTGGGCAAGCCCTGACTCCTGCTTGTTCCTCTGAAGAATGGGGCTAAGGCTGTTCTGCTGGTCTGCTTCTAGGTCCAGTGCACGAGAGAGTGGGTGTGAGTGTGTTTTGAAAAGAGTTAGAGAGTGTCTCAGGAAAGGAAAGCCCCATCAGCTTAGTTCACAGTGGTTGTTACTATTAGGATACTGAAGTGAAATGTCAAGTCATCCTGCATGTTTGGGTTCTTTTCTGCTTCCTTGTGGCAGAGTTCTGGGAGTTTTGACTTATGATAAGGTTGGAAGGTGCTCGGTTGATTGTGCTTCTGATTAAAGACCCCAATTGGACACATTGGCTTTGGAAAGGCATATAAGTCATCAGGGTGACCAGCACAGACTGCTGAGGTGAGGACTCTGGCCCACTCCATAAGGGATGGTAATGCGCCCCTGGCCTGGGTCAGTATAAGTCACATGGGCACGTGCAGGTGCAATTCTGTGGAACGGGGATCCAGACAGAATGGGCCGATGGTGGAGGGACCAGAGGAGCCAGAAAAATAAACATCTGCTGTAAACTCTGTGTTTTTTCCTGAAGATGGTTTTGCCACATAGACATGTATGTCTGGGCCACACATACCTGACCTCTTCTTACCTTGGTGGCTTTGGGCAAGTTATTCACAGCCAGTTAGCCGTAATAGTAGCTTGACTACCTTGTGCAAAGCCCTGGGTTCCCCCAGCACCGTCCCCAGAATAAGGGTGACAGTCAGACTTTTTGAGAATGAAATAACATTGTAAACACAGCACTTGGTGCATAGAAAGAAACAAACGAGGGAGAATTTTTTAACTGTTGTAATTTTCATTAGCATTAGTGACAGTATCCCAGGTATATACACATTACTTAGGGTAGTGTGATAATAAGCATCCAATACTGTGACCTTGAGATGAGGTTAATAAAAAGACTGAATCTGTGCACCAAGAAAGTGGATGTGAAGCTTTCTTCTAGATACAGTGTCTAAATTTTAACCCATCTCTTTTCTGAATTGAGATCATGACCCGAATGACAGGATAGCCCAATGTGTCCCTTTGCCTAACCTGTGAATGTTTCTTCTGCACTGACATTTCCAGGGGTCATAGAGATGGGTGACTTACTAAGGGTTCACCTTGAAGAGGCCCACCTGGACCACTGTCCTTGAACAAAGAGCAGTTACCTCCACTTTGGCTAACCTGGCCCTGTCTCCATGTCCTGATATGCACGGAGCTGGCTAAGCCGTTTCCTTCTCCCGTCCGTTGGCTCTAAGCAGTGTAAACAGAGCGCCTCAGGTGCTGATGTGCAATCTTTGAAGCTGGGTGACAGTCACTGTTTCCCTACCCTGTGACTCCCATCAAAACATAGTTGAACCTGGCAGGATGGCAGAGCCACTGCTCCAGGGCTGTCACCTGGGTTCAAGCCTTGAAATAAGAGGCTGTGACTTTCCAGGGCAGAAAAGTTTGCACATCAGAACGGAAGCACTGCCCCCAAAACATCAAATGCTGCCTCCGTTGTGTTACGCAGATTGGTTTTTCTGCATGTCCTTCTCTGCATATTGCAGAGGTGCTTTCAGGCCTCCAGTAGCCCAGCTCACAGTACCCACTCGTTTCCCACCATCTCACAGCCACTCACCCTCAAGCCTCTCTGTATCACCCCCAAGGCTCTGGAGGGCTGTATTGAGGATGTCTAATTGGCGTCCTGGGACTAAGTCAGAGAAAGTGTACTGGCCTGGAGTTGGAGAGGTATACACTGACCTGGACTGTTAAAAATAAACACTGCTGTTTTATTTTAATAATACTGGGGATCAAACTCAAGGCCTTTGGACTGAGCTACATTGCCAGCCCCCTTTTTATGTTTTGAGATACAGTCTTACTAAGTTGCTAAGGCTGGACTTGAACTCATGATGCTTCTGCCTCAGCCTCTTGCAGTGCTGGAGTTACACCAGCCTGCACCACTGTGCCTGGCTTGGAGCGTCATCTCTGAGTCTCTTTTGCCTGAAACAATGCTAAATTAGCATGTGATCTATGTGGGATTCAAGTGTGGTCCCCAGCTGTGTTCTGGCTCTCTGTTCCTGTGGTCCTAATACCAGGAACCGCTGGACCTCTGCTGGCCCCACCTCCCACTGGCTAGTGAGGGGCTGTGAGTTTTGGAGTCACAGGCACCCCTGTAAGAGAGAGAGAGCAAGACCCGCTTCCCCTTCATATCCAGCCCCATAGAAAGCTGTCCTGTGCGATTGTTACATGAGATTTCTATTTTTTAGCTTGTCACCTTCTAAAATTGTTAATGGAAGTGAGATCATCCAAGTGTGGTGTCTCATAAAGCCACTGCTCAGTGTGATGCAAAGTGCAGTGGGCTGAGAATCTTAAAAAGGGCCTTTGCATTCCAGCCTGTCCACCTTCCCCATTGGATGACCTTGGGCATGTCACTCTTGTCTTTTGCATCCTTCCCTATCCAGTGAGAGGGACAGCAGCCTCCAGCAGGACCTCAGCAGAGTCCAGGGGGACCCCTTTCTCCCCAGTCTTCGGCGAGGTCTAGAGAGATGAGTGGACGTATTATTTTTGTATTGACTTTATTGTTGAGGGAAGATCTTTAATGACTTGAAACAAACCCCAGCATTATGCACAACACTATCTCCATCCACCCACATTTCCTTGTCTAAGTTTGAGCCTGCTGTGTTCCAAACAGTGTATTTTAAGAGACAGTGGGTGTGGAAGCTTCCTTGAAAAAGGATTCTTTTTTTTTTTTTTTCTCTTTCGGTAAAAGTTTTTGACCCGGGGGACCTCTTCAGCAGACTTGAATCATAGATATTACAGTCTCCTTGTCTGCCCTGGTGATGTAGTTGAATCCCCTAATGGTCCTGTCAGCAATTTGACTCTCCCTCTGCCCCCCTCAAAAGTTCCTGGCAAACATTGGGCCCCAGAGCGTGGCCTCTCAGCCTGGAGAAAATAACATTTTATCCAAGATAATGTGAACAATTTCATTTGAACGTTTGATTTGAAAGTGATCAAAAAAAGAAAGTTTTTGGCGATTCTTGGTGTTTTTGTTCAGTCGTTGGATGTGTTACCAAAATGTGAAGGCCCCGGGGTTCACAGTTAGGTTTCAGACAGTGACACCTAAGATGTACCCCTGTGTCTGACCCAGTTGTTTAATTATATATTCGAGTGTTTGTGTGTGCATGTGCACACACACTGCACAAAAGTTTGCATTTCAAAATGGATGAAACATACCGATGGAAACAGGATTTATATTCTATTGATTTCTCTCAAAGCGTGTGGTAGGTGGTCCGGTGGATGTCGTGGATGACTACTTAGTATTTTGACCTCGGCTTGAGTCTTTGTATTTCTTTGGGTGCAGACAGAGAAGAGGCAGCTTGGTGTCATAGGAAGACGAGGTTGTCTGCATATGTGAGCACTCATGTTTGAACCCACTGTCTTTGTGGGTCTCTGTGCCTCTTATGAGAGGCCAATTCAGGAGGGAATGAAGGGGAACTCATGCTGCAGGCTCTTGCACAAAGCAGATGCTCAGTAAAATAGTGGTTGCTAGTTGCAATGAAGTTTGGTTTAGCATTGCAGAGTTCAAGAGCAAGAAAGAGAGAGAGAAGGCTACCATTGATGTCCCCTCTAGCTTATAGCTGGATTCTGAGTCTCTGTGGGACATTTAGGCTGGGCATCATAACGTGCACTTGTGAGGGGAGCTTTGTTCGTCTACTTGGGAGGTGAACGTGTGTGCTCAGCTGTGTATTGAGTGGGTCTTAAGGTACTACAGCGTCTGGAAACTGCAAAGGCCTCTTACTGAGCTGTGGCACTGGCGAGTAGGTTTATGGGTTTCACTGACCACTTTTCCTACCCTTGAATCTGCTCAGAAATTCTGTACTTCCCTGGCAGGAATGTGACTATTTTGAGGCAGAGCCCTCAACCAGAGGTCAGGGATGCATTTCAGTCTGATTTTGAGTTGCCAGCTTCTTGAGGGGACCTTCCAGGTCACCTCTCTTTCCAGCCCTCTTGTTTTTTAGAGGCACAAGGGGATCTAAAAGGACACGGTGACAAAGTCTCACCATCCTCTCACTCCAGTGACTGCCCTTTCTTCTGGAGTGTACCCCCCCTCCCCAAATCCAGTACCTCCTGAGTCCTTAGATTTTTTTCTTTAAGATGAAAATCCTCCATTATGGTACAGAAACAAGCAAAGGGACTTGTTGGCTGAAAAAGAAATTGTTACTGCCCAGTCCTGTCACCCAGAACTGTGGCGTTTAGAGAGTGATGAGCCTGTCCCTGAGGCTTAGTTTAAGTAAGATGAAGCGTCTAGCCATGATTGGAAGAGAACCTTGAGTTCCTAGAAAAATTGCATTGATT